AAAAAATTATTTTTTTTTTTTTTTTTTTTTTTTTCAAAATCTTTCTTTATGTGTTATATGTTTCTACAATATGTGTAATTTTAGGAGAAAGCATGGACAAAGAGGTATTAGCAATTAGTGGAAATGATGAAACTAATCATCGTATTCCACCTACATATTTGTATAATCCAGGTTCTGAACAAAATACAGGAATATCCAATCAGGATCAAAGTAATAGAAATCGTACTCAAGCTACAGAAGATCAATTAGGACCTTTACCATCAAATTGGGAGAAAGCTTACACAGATACAGGAGAAGTTTATTTTATAGAGTACATATAATATAAATTATATGCCATTGAAAATTAATATCTATTATACCATTGCTTAAAATACTTATATTATATTTCACAGTCACAATACAGGTACATCTCATTGGTTAGATCCACGTTTATCTAAATTTCAAAAAAGATCTCTTGAAGAATGTTTAGATGATGAATTACCTTATGGTTGGGAAAAAATAGATGATACTCTTTATGGTACATACTTTATTGACCATGTAAATCGTAGAACTCAATATGAAAATCCTGTGTTGCAAGCAAAACGGGCACAACAAAATTCAGGAGAAAGAAAGAGTCCTAATTTTACAAGAAATCCTGACAAATTAAAAGGCCAGAGAATAAGAACAACTTTAATAAAGAGTTCAAGAGGATTAGGGTTTACAATTGTTGGTGGAGATGATTCAGTAGAGGAATTTTTACAAATTAAAAGTGTGGTGCCAAATGGCCCAGCATGGTTAGATGGAAAATTGCAAACTGGTAATATTTAAAGTTACATATAAAATAATTGTTCTGTATCATACAATATAAATTTTTCAAATTCGAAATTTTATTACAGGGGATGTCTTAGTATATGTTAATGACACATGTGTTTTGGGTTTTACACATAATGAAATGGTAAATGTTTTTAAATCAATTAGCAGTGGTGAAACTGTTACACTGGAAGTGTGTCGTGGTTATCCATTGCCATTTGACCCAAATGATCCAAACACAGAAGTTGTTACAACTATTGCTGTTAATGCACCAGGTAAAAATTTCACTAAATAATAGTATATTTTTTCTAGAAGAATAAATTTTATTTCCTCAGATATTTTAACAGAAGATCCTAGAATGTACATGGATTTGGATCCTGCTTTGCAAAGTAATGGTCGTTTTAATTTTTTGGATACTACATTTTTGCCAGTCCATAGTCTTCAAAATGGTGAAAATCTTGCCACAACCTCTGTCAACTCAATGCCAGATCTTTGTATTTCGGATAAAATTAATACAATTAAAAGACCTAGTAGCACAGATATTTTATTATCCGAAAGCAGTGATTTAAATGATTGTAAAGACTCATCAATGTCTTCCAAACCAGAATTTTTCAGTATTGCGATTGTAAAAGGTACTATGGGATTTGGATTTACAATAGCAGATTCTGCTCATGGTCAGAAAGTTAAAAAGATTTTAGATCGTCAACGTTGTAAAAATCTAATGGAAGGTGACATTTTAGTCAACATAAATGATATTAATGTGAGAAATATGTGCCATTCAGAAGTGGTACAAGTTTTAAAAGATTGTTCTCGCAATGAAGAAGCATTAATACATGTGCAAAGAACAACATCAAAATCAAATGAAAAAAAAGAAAAAAATTCACAAGATTTCTTTAGAAGTAAAACACCTACAGCTGACATTTATAGCACTCAGACAAAAACTGTTGTCCCAAGTCGTCCAAAAACCCCACTTATTGATACTAGGAATCGCCCAAAGTCCCCACCTGGTGCAATTAGGTCAAATTGGAATGAACAAAGTGAAAACGAACTAAATCCTCTAGATAATCGATACAAATACTCAGAATACACACATGGCATGTATTATAATGATCCATATAAAGCAAATATAACAAATTTATCTGATAACTTTGCTACAATGACAAACTTAGATGACGATTCTGTAAGAAATGGTGCAAAGAGAGACTGGGTTACAAATGAAAAATTAAACATAAACAATGATGTATATTCTATTGATATACCTCATCATGATAACATGTTAAAACAAAATGGATGTTTACATTCAGATTACTATAAAGACCTGTATACATCACAGTCTCATTCTCAATATAGTGAACAAGATTACAATGTTTATTCTATAGGTCAAGAACAAAATGTTGACACTGGTGAAATATGGGATAAACGAAAAGAAACTACTAGTTTTGAGCATGAGCAACCACATTCCAGTTCAATACCACGGTAAATAGTTTGAATTCATTAGGTATATATTTCAATCTGCATCAAAATATAAACACTATTTTTTATATTTTAGATATCCTCAATATAGTAACGAGTTAGTATGTCCAATCGTGCCTGATATAGAATGGATAGAAACATTGGTAACTTTAGTAAGACAGGATACAGGATTTGGATTTAGAATAGTTGGTGGTACTGAGGAAGGATCTCAAGTGAGTTAGAAAGTTGCTTATGCCTTCATTTAAAGGAAATCAGAAATATTGATAATGTAACTGTTAGCAGGTTTCAGTTGGACATATAGTACCTGGTGGAGCAGCAGATTTAGATAACAGACTAAATACAGGTGATTTAATTATGTCAGTTGATGGTGAGAGTGTTATGAATTCATCACATCATCACGTTGTTCAGTTGATGATAGCCGCCGCTCAAAATGGTAGAGTCACATTGGGAATTCGTCGACGAATTAACACTCAAGAACATCTTCCAGAAAATCTTCAAACTCCATATAATAGACAAATAAATCTACAGTATCCTTATGATGTGACGGTCACTAGAATGGAAAATGAAGGTTTTGGTTTTGTTATCATTTCTTCAGTTAATAAAGCCGGTTCGACGATAGGTAGAATAATCGAAGGTTCACCCGCGGAAAGATGTGGGCGATTGAATGTTGGCGATCATATTCTTGCCGTTAATCATGTAGATATTACAAATGTTTGTCATAAAGACATTGTGAATTTAATTAAAGACTCGGGTTATTCTGTTACATTGACAATTGGTTACCCTCTTGATGATTGTTGTAGTAATACGTCTTTATCTCAAAAGGTATTATTTAACTTTGAAGTCAACTGCAGTTAAATTTAATATGTGATCCACAAAATACAGTATTAAATAAATTACTTCAGGATGAACCAACATGTGATGGAGATGGAGGTCAATATCATGCTGTTGAATTAACTCGTGGAACCAGAGGATTTGGTTTTAGTATTCGGGGAGGACGTGAATTTCAAAATATGCCACTATTTGTATTGCAAATTGCAGAAAATGGTCCAGCATCTATCGATAATCGATTAAGAGTAAGTGTAATGTTATTGGAATATGATTTTTCATATAATTAATGGCTTTTTCATATAAATTTTAGGTCGGTGACCAAATAATTGAAATAAATGGAATTAATACTAAAAATATGACACATACAGAAGCTATTGAAATTATACGAAACGGTGGACCATCCGTTCGACTTTTAGTTCGACGCGGTTGTCAGATGCCTTCAGTGGTAGGTGCTCCTCCACACCTCTACGATATGAATATATGAAATTAACCATCCTAAATAACAACACATTAATATTAAAAATATTAACGATATTTACTTCTGCAAGTGACGATACTAATGCTAACGTTGCCCTTGCATAACTTTCCTTCATAATTTTACTTGAAGCTTCAGAGTTTAACATTAGGTACCATAATAAAAAAAAAAACATTTAAAAACAATACGAAAAAGAAAAGAATGATTGCAAGAGGTTGTTTTATTGCAGTGAGAGTTAGATTAATACTGTTTTACAGTACTATGACATTTGGTACAGAAATATCTGGTGCAAACAGGAAACAGTGTGTTATATTGTATATTTTATGGAGTTGGTTATACATATATGTAGGTATGTAGTAAGATATATACTTTTTATATGCGACACGTTGAAATCAATCTTTACAACACCCACATGTGCAGCTTTTATATTTGATAATATTATTTACATGACTACCAGAGCTTCAAATTATACATATTGCAGTATAGCAATATTAATATGAATACTGTGGACATGGTTGTTGATTCTCAATGAAATGAATTATACCTTATAATAGTATTAATATTAATTACATATTAATTGTAATGTTTTGATAATTAAAATAAGAAGTTTTACATACTTTTAAGTTGAAGGAAGAAATATGTGAATGACTTTCCTTGCAGCTATGAATGTGACTTGTGAGAAGTCCAATTTATAGGAACAATACTTGCTCATTCTAACAAAATTGGAGTGGTGCTAACTCTGTATTTAAATGATCTAATTCCTGTAAGGAAAGATATTAATTCATCCTAACACGTGTGATAGCTTGAGAGTATTGTGCCTTACGCGTGTTCCATATTTAATAACAAAATTACTAAGTAAAAAGCTTAAGCTTATGAAGCAGTTATAAATTTTTTATTGAACTTCATTGTAGAGTAATCTCACAATCGACCAAATAAGTATTCGACCGATTGATGAGGGCACCCCACGCAGACATTTATTGAAATTACACGAGATGGGTGTGTACCCTAAAAAACGTCAGAAAGTCCGATTTTTTATTTTACTTAACTGCTGTTCATCTAAAAATAGATATTTATGATAAGCAAGCATTTAACTTAAACATAATAACATATTTTCACAATAAGTTCATATTCTATAGAATTAAAGATCGATTTACGAAAAAAAATTTTCAAGATTTTTTACTGTTAGTCGATTTTACATTTTTTATAAAATTTACCAGGAATTGTGTACTGAAATTTATTATATAAACATGAATTAATATAAACAAATATGGTAAATTGCAAATGTTAATGGAGTATAATCTATTTGTAACAGCAAATAGTATTAATACCCACGAAACATGTTGAAGTTACCTACTTTTATATCTGTGTAGGAAAACATTTTTGTACTGATAAATTTTCAACTAAAAAACTCGCAGACTGAAAAGTATCATTTAAATTAAGTGTTTTATTAGTCTCTATAGTAATTGTATACACTCAGGAATATTTTGACAGATTCACGACATATATTATGGTCGTAATTATGAAATAGTATACTTTTAAGTATGTGTATACAACTTCTGAAGAATCTCATTGAATTTATTAATTGATGCTTTACTGGCTTATTTTTTGAGCAGCATTTGAAAAAGAATATTGTCGATATTGTTTTTGTTTTAATATAATATTTATTATAATTGTATGAATTATATGCGTATAGCAATAATTAAATTAAGTACTGATACAACCAAAGAAGTAAATGCACTTATCAAACATTTCGAAATGCAGTGCAGAAGATCAATATGAAATGAACATATTATTACATTTATTATTTAAAGCTTTCGTTCGAACTATTATCTTTTCCTTATTGATTACATAATGACATTTGTAATAAACAGATGACGATGAGTAGGAAACCGTGAATGAGATTGGCATGAATTTTTTTTATAGAAGCAATATCTTTCGGTTTTTTTGCTGTATTAAAATGTGTTGAATATATAAAAGACTAATAAATATATTTTTTTACTAGTTATTGAATATCGATTAGGAAAAAATATTTAATAAAATGCAATGAATGGATTCTACAAGTTCGAATTAGATTATATTTTTAAATCTTCTTGAATGTAAAAAAGGGCAGTGTATTAACAATTTGAATATGTGTGTGAAATTTTCATTGTTTACATTTACTTAAATATGCAATTTTTATGTGTATCTTATCAATGATAAAAAATGGTAAACGCATTTAAAATGGATCACAGTTTACCTATATTATAGCTATTGTGTTTATTTTTATAATTACACACACGTGCGTGCATACGCACGCGATCACACATACACACAAACATATATATTTACAATTTGTATATTATGTAGGATAGTGCAACAAGTCTAAAATAATTGTAAATATATACATATAGATACACATTACAAAATTATGTGACATTATTAATAATTATAAGCTTCGTAAAGGAATAATTTCTCAATTCAAATGTATTCATTATCTTTGTAATTTCATCATTAAAAAATTCCATGTCTTCTATAGTTATGTTGCAATTTTATATATTACCAATACATATTGCATATAATTACTAATAATCTATGTACTCTGTGCTTACATTTGAAAGTACTGTAACATCAAAAGTGTTACTTTATTTTATTACTACCATGTAATTACCTAATTTTCTCAAAATATTTTATATTTATTACGGGTAAACATTTGATATTGTACATGTACATTAGTAATATCGATAAAAATTAATTACCTTGAGATAAATGAATTTGAAAGATCAGTGTTGTTGTCCGAATTTTATTATAGAATTCTCATATTTTTGTTCACATACATAACGATAATAAACTAGAATTAACAACGCTGTGTTTGCTTCTCAGTAAGAAATGAATAAATTTTATGTAGCTGTTAGAAAACTAACTTAATTTTTCAGGAAACTCCAATTTACTTCATATTATAATTATCAATTTGGTTAAAGGTATAGAAGCGTATATATTAAAAAATTAGATTTATATTTCAATTACAAAGTATTCTAAAAAATATACTTAAAAATGAAATTCTAAATGAATTTTAAAAACGGCGCCTATTGGAAGATATCGCGGTCACCAGTGAAGCCTGCGCCTATATTTCCAAGAATGCAGTGCTTGACGTCTTATGACGTCAGCCAATGTCGTCAAACTATAACATTTATAACGTACGTTTTTATCCATTTTATGGCGTATTCTTTTTTGAAATGATTAAAAACTATATTTAAAAATATTATAGAGATACTATAATTTTTCGAATTATATAACATATTTATGCGATCGTTCTTGCTGTATCGCCCAATTTTTCATAAAGGATCATTGACATGTTGGCATCACTGTCGATTGATCGTAAGTATTTTACCTAGAATGTGTATCATATATATTTATTCCTGGGTCCCTCTGGGCGAATGTAAACAGAATTTTTTCGCAAATATGAAGTGACACGGCCGATTTATGCGGCTGCGACTCGTGCATGGAAGCTGCAACTTGTGATACCGTGCCGACTGCCTTAGCAGTTTACAAGACCTCAAGTATTAGTCTTGAACGCGTTACGGTAACCAGAAGATATACCTAGCGGGTAAAACGGGTTTACGTTCGACCGCCCGTAGTGTAAGTTCAGTGAAATAGTGTGGAGACGGTTTAGAATACATGGAAGTGCAATGTGGGATCTGCAGAAATTCGTCAACTGCTTACTGACGGTAAGTATTTGGAAACGTGTGGCACCCACGAACAACTGCTGTGGACTTTTCCAGCACCCGCAAAATATGTCGTAGTGGTCGATTTCTCTGTGAAATAAGCCTATGCTCTTTAATCGCCTAATTTTCCTGGTTGATCGCATACATATTTTCTACGCGCTAAAATATGCTATAACGTTTTCTATATTATATAGAATACACGAATCTTATTACATTGTTTCATACGTTTCAACTATGTATATTAAATCAGCATTCGTGAGATCACACACAATCTTATGTGCAACCACACAGAGACATATACGTGCAATAAGACAGAATACGAGGTATGGGTATCTACATGGAACGCGTTACGCTGTGGACATAGTGTATATTCGTAAATAAATGATTTTAATAATTTTAGCTTGATACACGATTCAAATATCTGTGAAAATGTTTCACAGTCTTATAGTCGAAAGAACTTACCGTATTGTACTAAATTATATACGAATGATATATGCTATATATACGTGATTCTATACGTATGCGTATATATATTCTTTCTTTCTTCTCTTTCTCACTTACACTACGACCGTGATAACTGATTACGTTTCGTTATCTGCTTTCCTATTATTCTGATAATTATTTTTCTAGTAAACAACAGCAACAACAACTTATGTTTAATATAATTATTCGAAAAATATATTAAAAATATAATAGATTAAACATATGCATATTATTAATTTTCATTTTATTCATTATACTTTTATTTGATTTAATTAAAGTTATTGTGCTGAAATATATTTTAAATGATAAAATTTCATACATATTGTTTACATAAAGTTGTTTTAACACTTCCTTATGTATACTATTTTTAAATTACTATTATTAGTTGTGTATATAATTTTGAATTGTATAATTTGTGCATTTTTCCTATGTATAAAAGCTTTTATAAAATAAAATCTAGTATTAAAATTTTGAAAAGTTCGTAAATTAAATTACAAATTAACATATGTTTATTAAAAATAACAGTTTATTCAGAAATGGAATCACACAAAGTTCTTGTAAATTTTGTTTTAGCCATATATGGAATTATATTCAATTTACTTAATGAATAATTTATTGTACAATTTTGTATTTAAATGAGTTATCTCCATGATTTTAGTTTGTTCTTTTATTCATTTGGTATGCGTGCATGGTATGATCATATCATACGAAAGTATTATTCAATATGTCTACATGAATAAAATGTAAAGCATATGTTTATAACATTGTTATGGTTTATTATCCAATATATATTTTTCTATAATTATATATATATACAAATTATTATACTTTGCTCCCATTTCTATAGATATTTTTATGTTGATACTTAGTTCTAGTAAAATTATATATAATGTATATAAAAATCATTTATAGTATAAAATAAATGACATAATTATTGACAGTACAATATTAAAATATAAAAGTAATATGTTATAATTTAAATTTATTACATAGAAATATATTCTATTTTATTAATCAGTATATCTTCAGTTTTTACAGTATAAATATTTATTTATAGTTTAGCTTTGAAATCATATTCATGATTTATATTTTCCATAAATCATATCATGATTCATGATATACATGATTCTAGATAGTTAATTTAATATAGTGTTAAATTTGTATTTTTACTAATAATTTTAATTCATGTAAAATATGATGTATATTATATATTATAACAAAAATGATACTTTTCTTATTTTTTCAGTGATGGGAGCACAAGATGACTTCAAACTCAGCAGATTCCAAAAAATTTCAAGAGATGTTTCAGTTTTTACAATTAGGTTTTAAAAATGCATCAAAGCATGATGATGTTGTTAGATGTTTAAATACAGATAGAATGACAGAGACTCTGTGCTGTGATTCAGAGAAATGTGAAAATAATAGTACATGTGTACCAAGAAATACCAGTCTCCTTCAGAAGGTAGACATCGTTAACAGGATAGAAGATGATCCATGTGACACAATTGAATTTTCAACAACTGTTAATTATTCATCTGGCATAAGTTCAGTTAATCATCGTATTTTAAGGAAAGATGTTAATTTTAGTTGTAATTGTGATATAATGCATTGTCAACAAAACAAACAAATTTCACAAAGTTATTTGTGTTCTATACATAATTTATGGAAAATTAGAACAGATAAGAGGTTGCCGTTATTAATTACAAAAAAAGTTGGTACACAGTGGAGAAATTGTTTCTGGAGAATATTTTTAATTCCTTTTGTTATTTTGTTATTATGCACAACAATATGCAGTGCAGATTCCAATCAATGTGCAGTTGGCTTGAAAACACCTGGGAGTAAGTTTCACAAAAAATTTTTTAACTTTTAATTAGTAGAAACATATATATGTATTCATAAATTTAAATAAACAGATGCAGTTATTTAATTTCATACTTTTAAAGTGTTTGTAACTGTCTACTGCAGTTGAGTTTATAAATAATACCTGCATCTTACTTCTCTGTTTGGAATTCTAGTGTTGATGCTAAATGTATATATCTATATTTAATACACTAGGTGTACAGTATAGGCTAAAATTTTAGGCAAAATTACTGTATATTCTGTTAAATATTTAACTTAAGATATATGTTGTAATATACTTAATAATGAAAATTTATTTTCAACTTAAATTTACAATATTATTTTCACAAGGAACTTGGCCACAAGGTGATATTGTTCTTAAATATGGTGAACCTTTGAGAATACTTTGTATACTAAATCAAACATTTGTGGATGCTGAATTTCCTGGCAAAAATATCTCAGATCTGGTATTTCTTCGTAACCAAAAAGAAATGGAACCACAATTTATCACAATTATTAATGAAACTACAATATCATTGGATGTAGAAATGCCTCCACCAGCAGATGATATGTATTACTGTAAATTGAAATTACAGAATAAGCAATTGATATCAGTTTGTTTAAATAAAGTTGTGGTTGGGTGTAAGTACTTTTTTAAATACAGTTGTATTAACTAGTCTTTAATTTAAATATTATAATTTGTATAACATATAATATATATAGATCTTACTAAGTCATGTCATTGATATGAACTTATCAGCATAAGCTAAAAGGTATTTCATGAAAACAAGAGTGGGCATTCAGTGTCTGCTTTCATTAGAGTTATTGGAATATCACTTAATGTGCTTTGTATCTTGGAATTCATATTTGACTATCATTTGAGATAAGATCATAATTACAAAAGGCTTCTTGTATAAGACTTATTTATAAATGAACTTAATATAACATTTTTTAGAATTTAAAGAAAAAGTGTAACCTATGTATTACTTACCATTTATTAATTATTAACAGTTACACCTCAAGAGCCTCATAACTTCAGTTGTGTATCTCATAATTGGGAAAATATAACATGCTCATGGGAACCTGCTCAGAATTATGTTACAACGACATTTAAACTTGTATTTAAATTGCCAGGGAGGGCAGGAGGTAGAAAATTATATCCATGTCCACAGAAAAATGAAAAATTAACTACATGTTTATGGGATACATCTACTAGCCCAATTTATCGACAGCCTTATGAATATTATACATTTATATTAAATGTACATAACGTTCTAGGAAATGCTAGTTTTACATATAAATTTCATCATTTTGCTCATGGTTTGTATATATTATTTCTTCATTAAATTTTGAGATTATATTAGTGGAACAATTTTTAGTATTATATAAATGGTTTTAGTTATTCCTGCAAAACCAGCTAATTTATCAGTTATTAATAAAACGTCTGATAGTGCATTATTACATTGGAGTGTGCCTTTTCCAATGCAAAATTTTCCACCTGGATTACATCATAGAATTACCTATCAAAATCAATGGGATCATCAGAAAACATGGCAGGTGAGTTTAAAAATTCTTAGTTTTACTATAGTAAAATATTGGTTTATTTGAAAGTAATATACTAATAATTAATAATAAATTTATATTAGGTAATCAATATTGTAAATGATATTCACATGTATAAAAGATACTATAATCTTACTGGATTAGAGTATGCCAACACTGTATATGATGTACGTGTTTTTATGAAAAGTTCTGTTGCAACTGGAGAAGATAGATGGAGTCAATTTAGTGATGTTACTTTTAGAACACCACCGAGATGTAAGTTATGTTTTCCGTAATTTTAATTTAGTAATAAGTATTTTCTAACATATTTTTTATATTTTTATATATTTGATATTTTAGTACCTGGCCGTCCTCCAAAAACCGATATTGGAAGCTTTGAAATAGCGGAGAACAGTGCTGGTAGAGACGTATATTTGTACTGGCAACCTATACCACAATACTTAGAAAATGGTGATAATTTCAAGTACGAAGTTGATCATGTAGAAGAAAATGGTCGAAAATTGTCACTTGTTCCGAACGAAACTACGAGAACATATGCTAAATTTAAAGGAATTAGTTTCAACAATTATAGATTCGAAATTGTTTCGACAAACATTGTTGGCACAAATAAAGAACGTGCTAAAATTTTTGTACCTAGTCAATACGAAATACCACATGAACCTATAGCATTTACGAAAATTGCGTTTGATGGAGGATTGTATGAATTATCTTGGAAACCACCCATTATGAATACCAAAATCACAAATTATACAATTTTTTGGTGCGATAATGAACGCGATCGTCCTTATCAGTGTACTGGTTATCTAGACTGGGTACATGTATCGAAAAATACAACAATTTATAATATGACTGTACCAGATTCTGACAAAGTATATCAGTTTGCGATTTCTGCAAACACGAACAAAGGTAGTAGTGGCATGGTATGGGCATCATGTACTGTAATACATAACAAAGTTGTTGGAAAAATGAAGTCTGTTTGGATAAATCGAATTGGTTCTGATTTTATTGAAGTTGGTTGGAAATTAGATTGTTCAGATCGCATTGGAATAGTAGAAGGATTTAATATTTATTACTGTCCTATTGTCTCACCATATAATCTGAATTGTAAGGGACCGAAACTTAATACAACGATAAAAGCCGATCCTCATATTATTCATGGCATCGTAAATAACTTGAAACCATATACAACATATATGCTAGCCGTCGCTGTTTTAACAAAAAGTGGAGAAGGATTACACAGTGATCCTTTATACAATACAACTCTTGAAGCTGCACCAACAACTCCACCGCAAGACATAAAAATTATTAATGTAACAAATACGACAATGTACATCACTTGGAAACCACCAGATGCAATGAATGGTGTATTGCGTTATTATGAAGTTTATTATAATAGACATGCACAAAAAGTTGAAGAAGCAAATCACGTTGAATTAAAATACTTGTTGCCGTATACAAATTATAACATTAGTGTAGCAGCATGTACTGTATCTTGCAGTGTAAAATCACCTATCATTCAGAGAACTACGAAAGTCGGAATACCGGGAGAAATTAATTTACCTGTCGTACGCTTTATGAATTCTAGCCAAGTGTTTGTTATCTGGAATAAACCCCAATATCCTGCTGGTCATTTAAATTATTATGAAATATTTTCAAGCGATGGTGAAATACAAAATAGTACTAGAACAGGTAACATTTAAAAAAAATTAAATATATTTTCTATAGCCGTGCCCTATTTATTAATATATTTTTGATAAATATTGTAGAGGCTCAATTACCTATTCCTGACTGTAAAACTATAGGACGAGAAAGATTATATCAATTTCGTGTAAGGGCTGTTAATATTGCATCAAATAATGAACACTTAAGAGGTCCTTGGTCTGAAGCTGGTGAGGGAAATTGTTATAGTGATGGTAAGTATTTACCCACTTTTTTTTATATTTGTTTTTTTAATTAGTTTTTTATTTGGAAGAATTATAATAAAAATGATATAACTATTCTATTACATTACAGGACCATCATTCAGTGTATGGGTTATAATATGGGTGATAGGAGGTGTTAGTATTGTGGCAATTCTTCTTTGTCTTGCACATATATCAAAGAGGTATGAGTAATCCTTTGAATATTAAATATTTTATTAAATTCATATAGCTTCACTTATATGTATTTCTGTTTGTTATAGAATGTGGTTAAAGTGCAAAGCTATGCAAGATGTTGGAGTTAAATTACCACCAGGATTAGCACCAAATATGGTACAGTATATAAAAATTAATCACTTGTATCAATAATAAGAAGTTTGTATTTACTATTTATATCTTATATATTTTTGTTATAGAAGCTTCTTCAAAAAGTAGGCGAGCAACATATAAGACAATCTTCTGCTGATTCTAGTGGTTGCTCAAGTGGGCAAGAATCTGTTACTTCTTCACTAACATCAGACTCACAGGTTTCAAGTGATAGTGGTACAGAGATAGATCCGATGCCGGTATCACCAAATAAGTTGCTTGAAACACTACCAGCTTGGGAATCTTCAAGTCTTCGTCAAAGAAATGTTGGAATTACTAGGCCAGGATTTACAACAGAAACAGCACGCTGGGAACCATACGTAAAAGTTGCAAAATCCGGTGAGCCCATCATCGGAGACACATTATCTTTAGCACGATCTACACCTAATTTAACTGACAGTACAGGCTATACTACTTCGCAACATACTTGGTCTTCAACTGGTTATGTTAGTATGCCATCTTCAGAAGAATTATCCAGTAACCCAAGTCCTGTTCCAAAGGAAACTTCAACTGCAGGTGGATATAGTACTATAGGAACAATTCCTAAGTCTGTAAAATCGAAATCTGAGGATGATAGTGATTTAACAGAATCTACTGCGAACACGCTAATACCTATAAAATCAGAAGCCAAGCCTACAAACCCATATATAACTTTAGCATCCTTGGAACAGAAACAAAAGGATAAGAAAACTATTGATACTTTACGTGATTTAGATGAGTTAACATTTGCTGAATCGAACAAACCAAAACTAGAATCTTTGACTCCATTTTCAACTTCTGATAAAGCCTCTAAACCATATGTGCAAACAGGTTTAATTGATTCACTGAAGAAGCCGTTCACTTTAAGTAGTATCGATGGTACAAAGAGCACGACAATGTCTACTCCATTTGCAGTTACATCTTTAACTGATTCGTGCAATAAACCGTTCGTTTCTTCTTTTGCAAGCCCAACCACTTTAACATCGACATTGGATTCCTCGTCGAAACCCTATGTTTCTGTGTCTTCAATTCCTGAAGTGTCTAAAAAGTCAAATCTTCAAACAGGTACCTTAGAGTCTTCACAGAAGACTACCGTGCCTCAAACTTCTACAATTGATGGTTCACAGCCATACGTCCTCGCGAGTTCTGTATTCCAAATGCTGCAACAACAACAAAGAGGAAAATCGGAAACTCCTATTTCAGAAGTGATAGATGACGAAACAGAACAGGATGTTACAACAGTGTATCCTCTATGTTGGCAGACCAGTGGTATAAAACCAAACTCGAAGTTGGACGTGGACAAATCAATTATCACGACTAAACAGAGTACCGGATATGTTACCATAGCAGAAAACCCAAAGCTAGATCAACATAGAACGTCGACATTGTCATCGCCGTATGTACAGCATGAGAGGTTTGAAAAGCCACTGCCACAAACTACTACTGGACAGTCAGATGAACAATATAGTAAAGTGACTGTTGTGCCAAGTACTATTTAATGAAAAAGAAAAGGTGCAAACGTATCAATTGTGGCAGTGTAGCTTGTGTATTTTGTCACTGTATAAACTTCCTCTAATGTAGGAACGTTATTTCAAATGAACTATGATGGTGCAATACGATTTCACGTTTGTAGGTGCTTTCAAAATATAGTCGATGACAATTAAATCCTACATTTGTTTTAACAAATATGGTATTTAGGTCGAGGGCCTGAAAAATACTAAATTAGAACATGAAACATGTATCTCAGAGATGAAATAAGGCATACGAACATCGCGATACTCCGTCGACACGTGTTTACGTTGATATGTTTAAAATTTTAGTGTTTTCTAGGATCCTATACCAAACAGCATAATTCGATGCTGGGTCAACGACTGAAATAAAAAAAAAAAAAAAAAAAAAAAAAAAAAAAAAGGAAAAAAAGGTAGAAAAGCGAAAATTAAAAAACGAAGAATGTCGTATACAATGATATATTCGACACGAGGGCACATCGACACCTCATTTGTGAAAGTATGTACAAAATGAATTACTTTTGTATCATATACATTATCGTGCAATGTGATGTAAAAATCACTAGCAACGCCATAGCGTAAGGATTATAGATTCTAAGTAAATTATGTGGCATATACCCATCGACAAACAACTCGTCCGAATAATCAAATTCTTCGCTATCTATGGTAGTATAATAATTCTCAGTGTAGAAGGATAGTTATTTAATCATTGTGAAAGTTTTTAATCGACTCTGTGTAGTAGTATTAACATTTTGAAATATGTTTAAAACGATTTGAAAATTTTCAAAGAAGTTTTCGTTTGAATTTTTTACACTGTAAATCAATTGCAAAAGCATTTTTCGCTCTATCATGCATGCCAATAACATGCATATTGATCAATTTTTTTTTTTAATCTTAATGAAATTTGGAAATTATATACGTAGAAACAGATATTTATATCATTCTAGTGATTCCTCTAGAAAATCAATCGAAATGAAGTTGCTCGCAATTATGAATTGTTTATTCGCAAATGTTAAAAACTTCTGCTAGTTTTTGTCTCTTTTTCGATTCGGCTGAAAGAGGCAAAAATTGCTGTTTGTTAAAGTCGTGTATTACGTACAAAAATTATATCGACTTTTTTGTCTAACTACTTTCGTATGCGCAATTTGTTTATTTGTGTATATAATTTATAAATCGTTCCTGTAGTACCTTACTATTGCTAGCAATGATTGACAGAAAGTATGCAGTAAAAGGAAAACTATAGCAACAAGTACAGGGTCAAGGATAATAAGATAAGGGAAGGCTAATCAAATCACAGTTTTGAGACCAATTAGATTTTGCATGTTTCTTACATACTTCGTTATCAGCTAAAATTATTTAACTAATTTGAATGAATTTAACAAATTTTCTCTATCTTTTACATTTTATGTACTATTGCTGACTGTGTTAAAATCTTTTAACAGAATTTAAATATTTTGTAAATAGAAGAAACTGAATAGAATATACATACAATTTTTACGTTCACTTCTATAAATGAATAAATTTTTTTAAAATAGTTGGTAGAAATCATTTTAAAAGCAGAAGATCATATATATCGAATAACTTGTTTCGACAGTCAGCAAAATTGAATAAATTAAGATATGCTGGAATCAATATCCAATCATAAGCGACTCACTTTACAAAATTTTTAAGGAACTATGCAATGTCATTGAAACACTTATACTAAACAAAGCATATATATATGCATAATACCTTAAGCTAGTCATTGACGGGGTACATAAGTTTTTACAGGCCTTTTTTAATAGTTATTGTTTATACTTTACGAACGATTACTGAACACATTTTAACCCTCAATACTTTATTAACGATTATGTTAAGATGTTAATTTGTTGATAACTGTCAACATATCATTTAATGCTAAACTATTATAAATTAAAATATGTTAATTAATGTATTGATTAATGTTTACAACAATCTATTTGTCGAAGAATTTTTATATAAATTTATATTATCAGGTACAGAGATATCGATATAGAAAGAAAGAAAGAGAAAAATCTTATTTTTTCTCATATTGTAACGAACAATAATTTATGACGATTGCATATGATCGCATGCATTTTACCTCGTGTTGAACAATCGAACAACTAAATTCTAGTATATTATATACATGTATATCAGTACAAAAAAGGCCTGGGAGGATTTTTGCAGTCGTTTTGCAAGTTCAAACAATCTTCGCTCACGATTTTGTTAATAAGTGTTCGTTGAAATATAGGGAAAAGAAAGCAAAACGAAGATTAGATTATGTAATGTGAAACATTGTTTGGATTTGTGAAGTGATATTCAAACAAGTATCACGGAGGTACTCGATAATCCGTGGAACTTTTTCTGGAGCGAGCTTACGTATACTCGTATGTTATATTGTTGTTACTAAGAGAGGAGTCGCTAATATTTAATAAATCGCGTGTAACTTGTAAAAATGCTACTTAGTTCATAATAATATTAGGTCAAGTTGAAAAAGGAGAACGATTAGATGACGATGACTAGTGTCTATACTGGATGTGGTCGGTGCGTCGTGAATGCATTCGATTTAATTTTGCATTCGGTAGCGTAGATATTTTCTTCCTTTTTATGCAAGAACGTGCACACAACGTGTTTAAAAATACATGTATGGAATTTAGATACGATATCCCGGGATGAGATTTTATTATTGATCCATTTGTTTGGAAGTGATTGTTCACCCAGTCAAGATTTCCAAACGAATGGGTAAAAGATGAAGGAAAAAGAAAAGAAACAAATTGAAGAACGAGCAAAATTATTGTTTAATTATATCGCTGTCTTTTTAAAACCAGAAGCAAAATGCACGAATGCACGCAAGATTTCGAAATATGCTCATGTTGAGAGATAATTAAGTATTTTTCACAATATAGGCTTCTAGATTGATTTAGAAAGTAACCAAGCGCATCTACTTTGTTAGGTTTTACATGTCTACATTGTACATATAATATATCTATTATTATCTATTTTTGTTACATATTTATAAATGAAAAACTACTTTATTGCACACTATAAATATATGTATATGTATATGTATATATATGCACATACCTACCACACACACATGCATAACCCAATCTGAGAAAATTCTAAACGATGGAATTATGGTTTGGACAATTTATATATGTATACATGTATGTGTAGCGTGTGTGTGCATGTGCATGCATGCGTATGCGCGCACGTGTGTTCATATATATATATAGATATACACATGCATACATATATGTATATATACATGTATGTATGTATGTATGTATGTATGTACGTATGCATGTATATATATATATATATATGTATGTATATATATAGATTTATAAAGATATGCAGAAGATATATCGATAATTTACGTGACGTGTAAGACATATTTCTATCATTAGATGTTTACCTTTATCGATTATTAATTTGCCTTGCAGAGACCAGGCATATATAAAACGCGTATATTCACGATTTCTTTTTTCTCCACTTTTTTATGTAATCAAACAGCTCTTGTATAATTTAGTTGAATAGCTTGTTAGGATGTCTATAATGTTTATGTTATATATTTTCATCGATATTACGGGAGCTCGGTGTTACAATAAATTAATAATTCAATTAAACTGATAGGTTGATGAAATTAATTGGTATAAAATTATTTTATACGATACGAAGCAATCCTAGTGCAATTACTCACAAATATAATCAATTTTTGTAAATATTATTAACTGTTTTCTCTTTTTACATGTAACATAATCGTGTTGAAGTGCTATTACGCGACCTTATGAATTATGATCTTGTCTGAGCTCCCCGATTATAGATTTTTTTAATATATATTCAGAGTGCAGTGAATTGTTGATGCAGATTATCAGATTTTGATTAAAATATTTGTTGTTGACATAGTAACAGAAAGGTGTTCCAAATTTCGCTCTACGTATTTTACACGTGCCTGTTTGTTTCTGCGGATATTCGAAGTTTCGATTCTATGCAATAATTATTCTATCTTTCAGTAACATTAGCAACAAAGGAAATTTCAGTTTTACTAATAATGAATGTTCCAGAATATCAAGATATCGTTTTGCAGAAATGTACAGACACCGCGATAATATTAACTGTAGCAATATTAATCGTGGAATACTGCAATCTCCTATCTCCTCTCGAAATTGAATTATAGATAAGCTTTATGGAATTAGTATACATCAAAACGGCCGGAATATTTACATAATTAGAGAAATAACTACCTAACATCGCGAGTAAAAGCCATTCAATCTCTATACGCGTTAATAACGGGAAAGTATAAATAAATAAAATTCAAATCTGATGACAGTATTCCAGGATTGATCTATATCATGATAACCAATCTACACCGATTTAACTATATATTAATTCTAATAAGATCTTGTACAGAGTATTGTAAAATATATTTTTACTACATTTTTTTTGGTTTTATTATTTATTTCTTTACAACACGAAATTGTGTTTTAAGTTTGTTTTTTGTAGACCGCTGCTGTTATGCCATTATGTATGCCATGCCGTTGAGCCTTGCCATTTATGTAGGTTCATTTTTACACCAATTTCAAAGTTGTTTTGTTTTTCAATACTCATATACGGATCGCAAGAGAAATGCAAGAATTCTTGTAAAACTTTATCTTTCAATCGATGCTGTCGATAAGCGCTTCAGGAGCCATTATTTTATAACAATTATACTGAAATATATAACATTTATATCGACGTGATGTATTTTACTTATTAACTCTACAATATATTCCTTGATTGCTCTTAACTTACAATGTTAATATGATCATTTCTAATATGTTAATAGACAAAGAAAATCCAATTAATGTATTTTTTCTTTATATCAAAATACTCAACGTTTTACTAGACATTCTTATTATTTTCTATATATAGGGCAAAGTTCCATCGTATATTAAATAATTAATATTAGACATAAACGAATAACACTGTCCAACAAATTTTAACATTTTCTTTAATCTGTAACATCCATCAGGTGATTCTTGTAGAGCTTATTTTCTTGAAAACGAATCTGTGATCGAAATTGTTTTAACACTCACAGTTTTCGAACATTGTGAGTTTTTCTAAAGAAAGCACGATTTTTGGCTAAAATGAAGTATTACATAAAAAGTATGAACGTTAGAAGGTTTACTCCTATCATGAAAATTAGGCGCGAGTATCTCTAGTTCATTAATGACCGTAATTATAATTATTCGTGCATCTGAATAATTATAATTGATCACCAAAATTGAAAAATAAGCAGTCGAACGTGCTCTCTACGCAGTATTCTTGCATTTTCATAGAAAGTTCTTTATCTGGCACGAATTTTCTACACAGTGTCGTGTTCTGCAGGCTTTTCTGAAGAAGAAATCATGAAATAAAATTGTCGAAACAGTTTTCAATTCGACTAGATCGACAAAATATTTGTCGCTAATGTGTATAAGAGGTTTTACCGCCACACCGCCATTGCTCGCTTCTCTAGCCTCGACAGTGCCGTAGCTACGCGGTTTGACAATACAGACAGAACGTAAGTATATATGTATTTCTTTCTTGTATTTACAACAGTGTCATCTATTCATTGTTTTGTTTTCCGTTTGGGATTTTTATACTATCCAA